TCATTTACCATATTTTATTACTCCAATCATAACAATATACCTTATATAATATATCAAATATATGATATATAAACATAATATATGATTATAATGATGTCTCTTATTAGTTAAATATTTAAAATATGAAGTCATTGTGGTGGAATTGGTAGTCACAATATACTTAAAATGTATTGCTTTTTATAGCGTATAAGTTCGAGTCTTATCAATGACAATAATAAAAATTAAATAATACTTATTTAAAGTAAAACAAATAAGCACAAATAAGGAAAACAAATTAATAAAAAATATATTTTTAATAACATGAGCCGTTGACTAATCGGTAAGTCCCTTGTATTTGGAGCAAGTTTATAATAGTTCGAATCTATTCGGTTCAATAATATAATCTATATATTGTAATTATAGTAGTAGTATAGTATAAAAGGGATGGTAGTTTAATTGGTAAAACGCTTGACTTTTAATCAACTTATATTCGGTTCAACTCCGGTTCATCCTATTTAAATTACAATTAATTCATATTTTTGTCCTACAAAACAAAAGTAACTGACTGTGACTAACATATATGATTTTAATTTATCTTACAGTCATTATTAAATAATGATTTAGAACATAGAAGGTAAATATAATTTAATCGGTTAAAATGAGTCATTGTGGATGACTAAATCTGAGTTCAAGTCTCAGTATTTACCCAATAATATCAATTATATTAAATAGAATACCTTAATCCTTTAAATTAAAAAGTAAAATATTTATCTATTATTACAATATAATAACAAAGAGATATTAAGTTAATATAGTTTAACTGGTTAAAACAAGTGCTTCATAAGCATTAAATGTTAAGTTCAAATCTTACTATTAACTAATTAAGTCCATAAATATATTATTATCTTATTTTATATTCTTATTTTTATTTTTTAATAATGAGAATATATTTATTATTTTATAATAATAGGTAAATGCCTTAATAAGAAATTTTAATAAATAATATGAAATCGAGATTTAATAAAATAGTTAATAAAATGAATTGATTAAATATGAAAGAATTTTTACGCTTAATTATAAGTAAATTATCAAATAATTCAGCTAATATTCAAAATATTAAATATAATATAATATTATTATTACATTTATTTGAACATACTTATAAAAAGAAATATGAAGCATTAAAAAACAAACAAATTGATTATTTAACAAATACAAATTTAAATTCAAAATTAGTTAAATTTAATCATATCAAAAATTATCGTTATATAATTTATAACTTTAATAAATATGAATTATATAAATCAATGTTAATATCACGTTTAACATCTAAATTAATTTCAGATTTAATTAATATGATTTACATTAATCAAAAAAATATTCCTAGATTTGTTAATAATTTTATTTACATTGTCATTAGTAAACCTAAAGTTAAAATTAATTTATCTGAAGTTAAGATAATATTTTACTATTATTTACCTGGATATAAACCAAGTATATTATTATATAGAACTTTAGCATACTTTAATAGTTTAAATAAAAAAAAATTAAGTGCTAAACTTTTATCAAACAATAAAAATATTAATTATTTTGATAGTTTATTCAAAATGAATACTCTTAAATATAATTTTATTGTTAACATAATTCAAAATGTTCTAAAATATAGAGATAATAAACACTTTACTCAAAACCTTAACAAGATTTTAAATTCAAAAAGTAGTAATATTTATAATGTAACTTTTTATAATTTACTAACTTATAAGTTTAAGTATAAAATTTTAAATTTATTTGGAATTGATTTTAATCGTAATATCATTTCACGTTTCTACATTAAAAATATTATGAGTAATTTATTTAAATCTAAATTAGCAGAAGCTAAGTCTACTCAGTATAAAGTATATAACAATATTTATTATTCATTAAATAACAAAAATAATATTAATTTATATTCATCTAATTTATTACCTCAAAAATTAATAACAAATGCTTTAAATGAGTATTCAGATGTTATTAACAAACTTTTATTTCCATTTAATTCTAGAAATAATCCATGATTATCAATTGATTGATTTAGAAGAAAACATGTACATAGAGGATTAATAAATATAGCAAATAAAACATTAATGAGTCCTAATTTCTCAGATATCACTATTAATAATAATACTATTACTAATATTAATGAAATTAAACAACAATTAATTTTAAGTAAACGTCATCTACATACAAATAATAATAATAATATTCCAAATTATTTACAGTTAATCGTCTTTTCAATTAATCGTATATTTGGGAGATTAAATAAATCATCAATTGGAGATAATAAATGGGAAAATTACAAATTAGCAAATATTCTAAGTAAATTCTTTAATAATAAAAAAATCAAAATTGTACCAATTCAACTAAAATATGAATATAACAATATTGATATCTTAATGAAATTAATCAAAAATAGTATGGATGATGAAAATCAACGTAATATTGATAGAACATTTAGAAAAGTATTAATTAATCGTAGATTAAATTTAGAATCATCAGATAAAATTTTAAATTTAACTAAAACAAGAAAATTAACAATATTAAAGGATATAAATGACAAATTATTAAAGATGAATAATAAATTACAAAATATTAATTTAAATAGTAATTTAAACAATTTTAATTATAAACCACATAATGATGTTAAAGAATTATTAACAATAAAAGATCAGAAGTTAAATTTAAGTGAATTTTTACTAAATAAATATTTAGTAGGTATTGAATTTGGATATAAAGGTAAATTTGGATCTAGTTGAGGTAAACGTAGATCAAATAAATTCTTACTTCAAAAAGGTACTTTCCGTAATTATCTTATTGAGTATGGACAAATTAAACATCAACAATATAAATTAAATTACATTAAACCTGGTGTTTCAAAAGGTTATATTGGAAAACATACTTTCAGTGGTAAAGTTGGAATTAAGCTAGCTTTAAATAGAATTTAATACTTTATATCTCTTTATCTTTCTTATTATTTACCCCCCATATATTTAATATATAAATATATATTATGAGATATAACATGTTTATATAATGGAAAATCAACTTATTTATTGTAAAATCAAAAGATGTGAGAGGACATAATATCATTATTATTTAATATAGAATATAAAATTAATAATAGATAACAATAAAAATACGTAACTAATAAATGAAATATTTATAATACAAGAATGACAGTTAATATAACATGATAAATATATTTTATAATATATATTATAAACAAACCAGATAGATGCCGAAAGGTTAGGCACCTCTTTTGGGTAGAGGCCCAAGTTAGTTCGATTCTAGCCTATCTGATAATTAACTTAATAAATTACTCCTTTAGTTTAATTGGTTAAAACATATTACTTCTAATAATATAATTAACGTTCGATTCGTTAAAGGAGTGGAAACATACAATTAATGGTTTAATTGTTTAATATATAAACATAAATATTCGAAATATAACTAAACTAACTAACTATAATAATTATTGTATTAAATGGAACTTAGTTAAAGGGTTATAACATGAGTTTTACACACTTATATTACTGGTTCAAATCCGGTAGTTCCTATTATATAACAATGAATTTAATAAAGTTATGAGCATGATGTTGGCTCAGGTTAAACGTTTTCTAAGGACATCATACATGCAAATCGAACGTTTATTAATAGGTTATATTAAGATATTTCTTATTAATAAAAGTGGTGTGAAGGTGAGTACGATTGAAATCAGAACTATTAATTTGATTAAAATATCAGATAATTCATAAAGAATATAATGTATATTATTATATAATATATGTATATTTGTTAATAAGTCGAGTCAATTTTGGAATAGGTAGTAGGTGATATAAGAGATCGACCTAGCCAATGATCCATAGTCAATAATCAAACGTTATAATGACCACATTGGTAATTAAATATATCAATATTAATTATGTCACTTATATTATATATAACATATAATGTATGGCATAATATACAGCAGTAGGGAATATTAGACAATGATCGAAAGATTGATCTAGTTACTTAGAAAGATGAAGCTTATGATAATTTAATTATTAGAATTATATTTTAATAATTTAAATGGAAAAATAAGAATGAAAAATATAAAGTCTGGTCAATCAATTAATAATGATAATTGATATGATTATGTCCCAACAAAGAGTAGTGCCAGCAGTTGCGGTGTGCGACAAGTAAAGCTCTTTTATGTAATGTTTAGTTATCTTTTGATAATGTTAAACTAGATGCGTAACACATCTATACCTATCCAAATATGCATTATTCGAAAGGATTTTGTATAAAGCTTTGGAGACAATGTAATCGAAGCTAATTAGTCACAAATTAGTTAGAAGCTAGGTAGTTGATCTATGGTCAGCGTAAGCTAATATATCGACGAGTCCTCTTTAAGCTGGACCATACTTTGTGATCATATAGTATGGAGTGAGAATGTTAAATCAGATCATCGCGTGCTGATTTTGTTATAACATATATTCTCAGGGGAAAAGATATAGACCTAAGGATCAAGAGTGCATAATTGGGAACTTGGTAAGCCTTGTACTCACTTTAATAAATCTTATTCTTATTAAAGAGGTTATCTATAAATTATAACTGTCACAGGTTATTCGGAAATGATAATAACGAGTCCATGGTAGAAGACTTCTTAAAAAGCAAAGGCTTATTTGTAATGAATAAGATAGAATCTTTTATGATTTAACTCGAGAGAGTGCTGACTTAAGATATGAGTGCCGAATCTTCAATTTTAGTTGATTTATGTAATACAATTTGGCTACCGTGATAGCAATATATTCTATTCTTTTAATTAAAGGATATTTGAAAAAAGCTAAGCAATCTATTCTTAAATGAAATTTTGCTTTGTTAGCAAACTTATTCTTAATTGATAAATTTGCAATATTTTAAATTAAAAATCAATCATGTGAAACTTAAACAAATTGTTTAAACACTTTGGGATAGACATATCTCAATGTGATAAATTCATTATGAATCAACAACTAAAAATTGCAGAAGCATGGAAAAAAGGGGACAAAGATAAAGTTCTTAAATTACAAGAGGAATTAGTAAAATCAACAATGACTATTCTTATGGCTATAAATTCTGTTATGTCTAATCGTGGAGGTAAAACACCTGGAATAGATAAGAAACTTTATGATAATTATACTGACCTATTATTATTAGTAGATGAGTTAAGAGAATTAGATTCTTATAAAGCAACTCCTGTAAAAAGAATTTACATTCCAAAATCAAATGGTAAACTTAGACCTTTAGGTATCCCTACCATTAAAGATAGATGTGTACAAGAATTGTATCGGTTAGCTTTGCTACCTATTAGTGAAGTTAATGCAGATTACAATTCATTTGGTTTTCGTCCTGGGAAATCCCAACGAGACGCTATTACAGCTGCTGTTTATTCTTTAATGCCTTATTCCGAAAAGGGAAAAGTTTATCCTAGATTTGTTCTTGATGCGGATGTCAAAGGTTACTTTGACAATATATCCCATGATTGAATACAATCAAATATTCCTATGAATAATAGGATATTAAAAGAATTTTTAAAGGCTAACTTTATTGAAGCTAAAACACTCAAACTCGTTAAAACTGATAATGGAGTACCACAGGGAGGTATCATATCACCAATCATATCTAATATGGTGTTAGATGGTTTATATGATCATATAATTAAAGATTTAACTAGAAGGGGTATAAACTCTAGTAGTATTAAGAATACGAAATTTGTCAGATATGCTGATGATTTCTTAGTAACCTTCCCATATGACTGAATGGAGAAACACATTAGAACTAGTATTAATAATTTTCTAAAACCTCGTGGTGTGATTTTAAATGAAGATAAAACAAAAGTATTAGATACAATGTCAGAAGGTTTTAAAGGGATTCCATTTTTAGGGGTTAATATAATTAAGACGCATAAAAACGTTCTCGATAAGAGACCTTTACTAAGTGAAGGCTTAACTCATAAAGATTTCCTAATATTGGTTAAACCTCAACAATCCAAGATGAATGATCTAATCAAACGTATTAAATCCATTTTAAAAGCTAATCCAGGTTGATCTTTAGAACAGATGATTTCTGAACTTAATCCAATTTTACGTGGTTGAGCTAATTATTATGCTATTTCAAATGGATCTCAAGAATTTAGAACTATGGATCAAGTGATATGAAGAGTCGTAATTAGATGATTAGGAAAGAAATATTCCCTAAAATCGTTAAATAAGATTACTGAGAGGTTCTGTATTAAAACACAGGATCACAAAAGTAAAACGACAATAGGTTATATAAATGAAAAGGGTATGAAAATAACTCTATTCGAACTTTCATCAGTAAAATGAATTAGAAAGTATAAAATCAATAGAGTAAATATTTTCAAAGACTTGAAAACCTAGTTATTTAATTAGTCTTAAGTAATTTAAAATGTATCTAAAATCCTTCTTTAGAATGCTAATATCATTCTTAATTGAATGAGAAACAGAGGGGCTTGAGCTGTATACTATGAAAATAGTACGTACAGTTCTGAAGGGGGGAAAATCCGTGAGGATCTACCTATCCTGCTTAGACTACGGGGGCTTACGTTAACCAATAGTTGGCTTAAAGCATCCGCAGGTGATATTGAAAAAATATTAGAGTTATTTTCGGAAGATATTGAAGAATTATGGGAAGATATAAAAAGTTGTGATGATAATTCGACAATTAAATATTGAAAATTATATTTCTAAAATAACTGACACTCAGGGATTAAGGCGTGAGTAGCAACTCGGATTAGATACCCGACTAGTTCACGTTGTAAACTATGAATGCTATTGATTATATCATGATTTTTATCAATCTTTTAACAATATAAGTGAAAACTTAAGCATTCCGCCAGACGAGTATACTCTCTAGAGTGAAACTCAAGACAATAGGCGGTTACAGGAATATGCAGTGGATTGTGTTTTTTAATTCGATAATACACGATAATCTTACCATCGCTTGCATTATTTATTCTATTTAATTTATTTCTATTTTTAGTTTTAAATTAAAGGAATATTTAACAAATGTTACATCGTTGTTGCCAGTTCGTGCCTTATGGTCTTGATTAATTTCTTGAACGAACGCAATTCCTTTTCTATACAGGTTTTGTTTACATAAAACTTAACTAAATATAGATTTAATTGTTAATCATCTTTGTGATTACTTTTTTTTTAGGAGCTACAACAAATCATGATGACTTTTATGTGATGGGCTAAAGACGCAATACAAAATCTCGTACAAAGCCTTATTAGACTTAAAGTATTATTATACTTTTCATTTTAATTATTTGGTTAAAACGAGATATCCAATATATCTTTAGAGATATATATATAATTTGGATTATCTTCTGAAATTCGAAGATATGAAATTGGAATTGTTAGTAATCGTATTTGATCGGAATACGGTGAAATTTATAACTGTTTCGTACTAATTACTCATCATTCGCTGGAATTTCGAATATATTATAGTCTACATTACCTATTTTATTAATTTTATAATTAATATTATAGATTTTATGTATTGGCCGTCATATCCTAGAATAACCAGTGAGAAGTTGAAATACAGTTACCGTGGGGGAACCGGCGGTGGTTTGTGATACAAATTTGAGAATCCTTATATTATTCAACATATATAATTATATATTATATTATATCAAAGGGAAGATCTTCAATGTTGGTATTTGAAGCTGACCTGTAAATTCAGTGATATTTTTATCTTCATACGTTCGATTCGTATTCTTCTCAATTTAATTTGACTCATTATCTTAAATTAATTATTATTTCTTAATTGTTAATTAATTAAAAAAGGGAAAATGATTAATAATAATATTATTAAATAAAAAATATATTTATTTAACTTACTAAATTTTATTAAATTTATATTAATGTACATCGATTTTAATTTATTAGATATTTCATTATTAAATTATTATATTTTAATTAGTAGTACTACTTTTGAATCACTTGGAATACTTATTGGTAGTATTATACTAGTTATTAGTGAATTATGATTTATTAATTCACAATTGTTCAGTATTTTATATACTATTATCTATGTAGGAGCTGTTGTTATATTATTTGTTTTCATTTTATCTGTTATTAATAAAAAAGAAGAATATCAATTTCAATATACTAGTTTAATCATCTTTATTACTATCATTATTTTAGATGATTTAAATTTCACATACTTTGATATCTCAAATAATATTCAAAATATAACACACATTTATGATTATTATAATTTATTTAATATAAATATTTCCTCAGATTTATCCACTATAGGTAATCTATTATTTACTGAATTCTCTTTTATATTATTATTAACTAGTTTAATCCTATTATTAACTATTTTAGGTATTATTGTAGTTATTTATTAATATAATTATCTATTATTCTTTATCCTTCTCTTTATAAAAATAATATAAATATTTTAACAATATAAATTATATATTTTAATTTATAAATAATTATAACAAAATAATTTAAAACAAAAAAATGCAAATATATTACATTGAATATATATCAATATCAATAATATATATAGTAGGAATACTATTATCTGTAGCTTATTTAACTGTTGCAGAACGTAAAACTATGGGTTATATGCAAAGACGTTTAGGACCTAATGCTATAGGTTATTATGGTTCCTTAACTGCTGTTGCTGATGCTCTTAAATTATTAATTAAAGAAATATTATTAGTTCATAATGGAGAAATTATGTACATTATTAGTGGTCCATTAATTACATTATTTAGTGTTTTTTTAAGTTGAGCTATTATACCTTTATATAAAGGGATCACTATTTTAGATAACGAATATTCATTAATTTTATTATTAGGTACTGGTTCCATTGGTGTTCTTGGTACTGTAATTGTTGGTTGAATGTCTAATAGTAAATATACTATTTTAGCATCTATTAGAACTACTGCACAATTAATTAGTTATGAATTAATTTTAACTACTATTGTATTTATTATTATTTTCTTTACTCATTCACTTAATATTGAATTAATTATTGATTATCAATATTATATATGATATATAATACCATTATTTCCATTAATGATTATTTATTTTATAGCTTCTTTAGCTGAAACAGCTAGACCTCCATTTGATAATATTGAAGCTGAATCTGAATTAGTTTCTGGTCATATGACAGAATTGTCTGCCTCACCTTTTGTTATTTTCTTTTTAAGTGAATATTCATCCATTGCTTTAATGTCAGTTTTGACTTCTATTTTCTTTATTGGAGGTTATTTTCCGTTTATTTATCTTAATATTCCTTATATTTTCTTTGATTTCTCTAATTCTCATTTTAATTTATTATATCACTTCTTTGATTCATTATATTTCTCATCTTTCACTATTATTAAAGCTAATTTCTTTATGTTTACATTTGTATGAGTTAGAGCTTCATTCCCTAGATTGAAATTTGATTTATTAATTCACTTTTGTTGATATATTTTATTACCATTATTATTTGCTATATGTTTATTCATTCCATCCATTATTTACACATTTAATGGTATTAATATTTAATGAGATATTTCTATTAAAATATATTTTTATATTAAGAAAAAAAAGGGGTAATAGTTTAATTGGTAAAACGATTGCTTTGCAAGCACTTAATCCGTGTTCGATTCACGGTTACTCCAATTAATTAAATTAACTATTTATATTTTTATAACAAATATAATATTCTAATCTATTTTAGATTAAATGGTTCTGTAGCTTAATTGGTAAAGTCTTATCTTGTCACGATAATGGATATCCGTTCGAATCGGATTAGAATCGTATTCCTAAGTTTTATTATATCATAATTATAATAATAATAATAATATATTTATTATAAATAAATTTTATTAAAAGGAAATTTTATCACTGGTAAGATAAGTTACTTGCTATGTAATGGAGAAATCTTGATAGGTTCGAATCCTATAATTTCCGATTATTATTGTAAGCAACCCTATCCTTTAATTCAATTGGTAGAATATTAAACTACGGATTTAATAATACTGGTTCGAATCCAGTAGGGATTTTTATTTAATAAATATACTAATTATATTTAATATAGTCAAAATTAATCATTACTAGAATATAATAATCTACTTTCATTATTATTAAATTTTAGATAATATATTATTATATAATACTCTTAATGTACTTTTAATTTCTTATTTTTAAATAGATTTTTAGTTAAATACTAGTTTATTAACTTTAATTTATTTAATTATTAAATATAATGCATTATTTATTATTATTTAACGTTATTTATGTAAATACAATAATTATGTTGTATAAAACATATTTAGTCAAAATTACACAATATAAAAAATTAATTAGTCAACTATTACTTATATTATTAATAATAGACTTTTATTATATAATATATAATATATATTATATGGACATTAATGAATATGGGTATATTAATATTATTGAGATATTTTCTATTAATATAGGTTATGATACTATCAGTATAATATTTTTTGTATTAACAATATATTTAGGTATTATTAGTATAATAAGTAATTGAGAAAATATATCAAAGAATCTAAATCAATTTATGATATTATTAACAATATTAATATTATTAATGAGTATAAACTTTATTTGTTTAGATTTAATAAGTTTCTATATATTATTTGAAAGTACATTAATGCCATTATTTTTAATTATTGGTATTTATGGTGGTAACAATAAAAATAAAGCAGCATATTATATATTAATATATACATTATGTAGTTCACTATTTA